AAGATTTTCAGTATACTATAAAAAAAAAAGAAAAAAGACTGAAAAATGATACAAAATAGAATAATTTATTATATCTTAGGTTACGTCAAAATCTCGTTTATTTAAAATTATTAAATAATATTCTTTGCAAATGTATTTTGTTTAATGCGACTGAAGTTTATCAAGAGGCACTGAAATGAAGCAACGAAATCTCAAATGTGATGAGATTACTCCAGTCATATTTTACTTTGTTATATTTTTCACAAATATAAATAAAATATCGCTGTTTAGAGTTTAAATAAAAAAAAAAGTCTTTCATCACATTTGTTCTTTAAATTCTGAAATGCTAGATAACTTTCAACATTTCTTTTGCTATAGCGTGAGACTAATATAGCCACAGTAATCTCACCTCAGATTGAGATACTGACTCCCTTTATCGAGCCGTCGTCGATTCTACGAGATACGGGCATGTCGACCCTCGGCTTGTCGACGATACCGGCATATCGTTGGCAGTACGTATTCGGCCGGTGGCGATATGTCTAGATCTATGTTACAATGTTTGCCTTTCTAGATTTGGGACCCGTGCCGATCATCTATACCTGGAAAGCTTTGCACCGCCAAATACTTTACGGTATGCAAACTCGAAAGTGGTCGACGAAAAGATGACGAATTGGACGACTCCCATCCAACGTGTTACGATGATACGAGATGTGACGGTTAAACGGTCGCATTAAATGCAGCTCACCGTAACTGGATGCAAACGATACGTACGTCACGTTGTGATTTACACGCGATTTACATTCGGTTACGGTGAGCCGTATTTAATGCCGCGATCAACACGACACCTAATATCGCCGGACGGGTGACGGCTGAGCCGTCGGTGAATCCACTTACCACACTGAATACCGGCTTACGATACGCGGTTTGTCGTGTCTCGTAACCCTCCCCGACCCGTTTACAATTATGTAGCGGTGGTACGAGTCTGGGAAGGGTTGACGCAGATGTGCCGAATATCGGCGATGCTCACGTAATATTTCCTCCCCCGAAGTCCGTCGCGCATGAGGATAGGATTCGATTCAATTTCAATAACACTGTTGTTAGGTGTGTTATTGCCAGAAATAGGAAATGTATTGAATAAAACATACACTGCAACGCAAATGCTTCCGATAATTCAACATCAGCAAAATTGTGATACATAAATTTCTCATGCAGAATATTTTAAGACATGCAAATTTTATAAAAATTGAAATCGATAATTGGTATATCTGAAAGCCGACTTAGAAAATAAATATTTTTAGAATTTTCACTTTTTCCTTTCTAAATGATCTTTATATATTTACAAAAGGAAAGAAAATAAAAACAAATATCTCTTTTCTAAAAGTAAGTACGGCTGATACACTCATTTCATCAAAGAACAATTATTAAAATAAATAAAATAGATTAGATTTATAAAATCGCAGCAAAGATATCATAAATAATAAATGATAAATAATAAATGAAATGAAAAAAAAAATAAATAAATAATCAAGTTTTTAATAGTCCTCTTGAAGAGAATACAATATCTATACTAGATAGAAATTAATAATAAAAATTGCTATAGATGTTTTGCAAAAATTAATTCCAAGCTGTCCTTGATATAAAATCAATAAAATGCTGGTCCGTTAAACTTGTATAAAATTCACAAAAACATCGCGCTTAAATCCAGTATAAATATTGAAATTTCTCAAAGCCGATTTTCTCGCATTCGCTTCGGACTTCGTAAAAACTCTCGTCTTCATCAGGACTTGTTACGTTCCGATCTGATTCGCATACTCGGTTTGCCAATTCCAACCGCCCGGCCCAACGACGTCGTCGCCGTCGACTTAGTCTAAACGAGAGGTCCGCTACAATTGTGTTATACAGAGTCCGCGTCGCAGTGGTACGCACTCACGCACACATGTATACGATATAATTTTAAGAGACGCAGGCGCCCGTTGGACGACGTGACAGCCTTAATTGGACGCCCGCTAATCTCGCATTCGCTCGTTCTCTTTCTCTCATTCTCATTCTTCCGTCTCGCTCGTCCGCGAGGAGACGTCCGACCGAATTTTATCTGAACGGAGACAAGAGCGGCGTCCTCTAGAACGCTCGCGTTACGTCGATTATGGCTAAAACGCGACGAGCTAATATCAAGACACCGTCGCGCTTATGCTTGAGCTAAAAAGCGGCACGTTCGTCTCCCGCGTGTTTCCCCCCGCCTCTTCGGGCGGCGATCGCCGACACGTGGTTATCTTCTTCTTCTTCTTCAGGAACGAATCAGTCAGTACTGTCACCACCGTCACTCCCATCATCACTGGTCACCCGAAACGTAGCAAATCGTCCAGACGGTTCACGCCGTACCGAGCGGTCGGCCACACCGTCCTCGGCGTCCGTCGTACCTTCGCTATAAGAGGACAAGAAAGGCTCCCCCGACCCGGGTCACGGTCGGGCCACCTAACACTCGCTGTAGGACGGCGGCGGCATACCGCGACCCGTATACATGTCCGTCTGCGGCTGCAGATGGCAGACGACGGTGTGCCCGTCCAGGACGGCTACCGTCCGCGTGTGGTCCTGCTGCGGCGGCATGCCGTACGCCGCCGGTAGCCGCGGCAGATCTCCGAGCTCGTACCTGGCCTGCTGTCGGCGCAGCTTCTCCCAACAAGCGTTCAAGGTTCGCTCCATCGCCGGCCCGTACTCCGTCGAGTCGTAGTGGGTGAGATTACCGCCGCCGCCGACCTGGCCGCCGCGTTCCGTCATCGCCTGGCCGTAGTGCACCAGGTTGCGGTCGGTAGCGGGCGAGTACGGGATCAGCGGCCGGTGATCGCCGTAACTCCTGGAAGATTGCCTGCTCATGTCGCTCTGTCGGCGGCCGTCCTCGTCGGACATATCCGACACTTGGATCTCACCGGCGCCGATGACACCGCCGATACCACCGCCAATGATGCCGTTGCCGCCGCCGCCGCCTCCGCCGCCGCCGCCGCCGCCACCGCCGCCGCCGCCGCCGCTGCCGCCGCGCTCGATTTCTTCGTACACCGGATCGTCCTCGTTGGTGAGACCACGTGGCAGATGCACGTGTTGGCCGTGGTGGCCGTGCAGCTGGTGATGCCCGGCGACCCCACCGTTCCCACGGCCGTCCACGATCTCAGTGTATGTATGATTGTACGGCATCGCGGCGCGCCTACCGCCGATCGTCCTGGTACCGGTGTTCATCTCGCCGACGTCGTTCGGCCCGCGTCTCCTACCAGAGTGGCCAAGCGTCAGGGTGTTGTGCGTCCGCGGGGAATCCTCCTGCTCGGAGCCGCCGTGTCCGGAGTCGCGGGAGTAAGACTTAAAAGAAATGTTCTGCGGAGAGAGATTTGATGCTTGATGTTAGAGCGATAGGTCTATCAATGTGCGTGGAAAGGAAGAGGGTACGATATTAAGGTGAACAATTAACGTTTCCATGTCCATTGAATTCTACGCGTATACATTGAGATGGTCTTCTTTGACGATTTTTAGAAATATGTATTTGTGCGAGAACGACATATCTAACGATGACTGTAAAACAAACCGTGTCTTAAATAATCCAAAATAACTTTTATAAATAAATGCTACGTGTATTATGTATGAAAATTTAAAAAACTGATAGTTTTAAAAATTATATTCAATATATTTAACACAACGTTGTCAACCATCTAAACGCATAGAATCATCGGACGCGACAGTGTTTAATTATCAGAGTGATTCATGTGTCACAGGGATATTTTATACAACTGAGCCGTTTATTTCATCGTTAAACGAACAGATTAATTAAAGAGCGTTGAAGATATGTGCAAATATGTAAGATATAATAGCAGCAAACTAATTTTCGCTATGTTCGCTATGTTTAAGACAGAATACCTGATTTCGATCAGGATACCGACAGGATACCGATCCTATAAAAGATGCTTATTAAGATAAGCATACTATTTTAACCTCTTCATCTCTATTTATATTTCTTAATAACATTTGATACGCTACTTTCAAATGAAACGGCTCAATTGATGATCGCGCATGCATGAGAGGAGAGACGAGCGAGAAAATTCCGCTCACGTTACATGAGGACTGTATTTCACGGTTAATCATCCTCCTCTCTTCATTGTGCAGCACAAAAAAAATATAACACGCAACGTAAACCAAGGCACACAAGATGAGCTACACACAATTCATGACAGGATAAATGGAGCACTGTGTTCTGATATAAAACGTCATAACCGTGTATTCGCATTTGTTTTCGCGCGCCGGACGCGCATTAGAATAGAAAAAAAGAGAAAGAGGCAGGAGCAGGTAGGTACCGGAAGAGCGACATGGCTTATTCCATAACATCTTCGTCTCTTTTGGTTTTATTTCAGCCGACGCTCATCAATCATCGCGTTTTGCTGTATCGCGGTAATTCAACGAGTGTCGTTAAAAATATAAAAAATATAATAAGCAATAGTACTTACTGCATTAAAAAAGGAGGTTAAGAACGCAAATAAAAAAGTTATAATTAATATATAAATCTCTAATATCTGTAATATAAATCTCTTAATATAAAACCTTTATAAAATTTGTTTACAGATGAAAATTTTAACAATTTATGTAATTTTATAACTTACATTGTAAATAAATGGGAAATTAATTTGGAAAATTAATTTTGTTTAAATATCGTGATAGCAAATGTAAATGTTTTTTTTTTATATAAATGTATGTCACATCACAGAATTGAAACAAATATCATTACTCAAAGATAAAAAAAATAAATGACATATATTTAAACATTAAAATTTATTCTATTTTACTTCTAAATTAAAGTCATAATTTATTTCAATTTTAGTGTAACGAAAAAAGATTGGAGAGATAAATTGCAGACGAAGGATCACAGGACAAGCTATGTCGCAAACTTGAAAAATAATGTCTCTTTAAACGTCGACAAGGTGTATCCGCATCTCCATGCTCAATATTCGGATCAGATTCACTCCTAGGATGCGTAAGGGTGACTAGGTAAGGGTGCTGTGCATGAGTGAAAATTAATACCGCACACCATGCAGAAACAAAAGAGAGATTCCAAAAGACACACGATGAAACGGAGACGGCTCTAATTTCAGCGGAACTTTCGGTAAAAATATATATACTTGACATAAAATTAAAACACAAATTATATATTATACTTGACATAAAATAAAAAATTTAGTTTAATGGTCTTTATACTCTTTTACTCTTTTGCAAATATTAAGACGATAATTACCAAGGTCCTCGCTAGAAACAGTTAACTGTTCGCAAATACGAAGATAATGGGATAGTTTTCGAGGTACTTGCAAACGTGTGGCCTCGATTAGTATACTTCTCATAAATGCAAGCTTCCTACAAATACAAAGACCGTATGTTGGTTCTTGTAAATGCAAACTGCTTACCAACCTGAATATCGGTACTTAGGATATAATCAATGCGGAAGCAGCGGTTTAGCAATTTCTTGCAAACATACGGATCATGATACCGATGAGCTGTTCGCAAATATCCTCTGATTTCGGAACATCATAATTCGATATACATCCTTTCACTTTTACAAATACTTTTTGAAAATAGAAAGGCTACTCAAAACAACAATAAGTTAATATTTCAAAATAACAGATAATATTTAAAATTAAATTTGAACAGTGATGGTGACTATTGAAACTTGCGTGCATCAAGTAAAAAATGCTCGGTACCTTTTTTGTCTGAAATTAAAACGCAAAAAGTTCAAAACAGTCGCGAGGTTCGCATCTTACGATAGAGCCGCCCCCGAGGTTGAGAAACACAGCGAGCGATTTTAGCGGTGAATTAATTACCTTCCACATGAGGTTTTTGTTAAGGTGGCCCCAAGTGGCAGTGGCAGATTTGGGGATATTGGGAGCTGAGGGTAAGAAGGCGTGACGTGCGTACGGCAGGGTAGCCACGATGTGAGCCTCGGTCGAGGCGGGTTCACCTGGCACCGTTACTGTCGGCTGCCTATCGACTATCGCCCAGCTTCGACCGGATACCAAGTACTGCAAAAGCAACCAATCCGCCGTTCCCCCTTAACCCTTCGTTTACCGATGGGCAGGGCCTGCCCTGTCAGTATCGCTCGTAACTCAATGTGTACGTGTATGAATAGATGGATTATTCTCTGGATAATTAGTCTATTCGCAATCACCGACCGGAAAATCGAGCTGTTAAACGATCCAAATATATTTACGTCGCTCTAACGCAGGTGGTTCGTGTCAGTAAACAAAGGGTTTCCAACAATCACGATTTTTAAAATCGACTCCGTTTCACCGGAACTGCAGCAAAGGAAATCGGTCGTAAATTCGTCATGATATGAGTCATCGATGAAGAGTTGGAAGGATCGGAATTTGCCGTTTCTTTAAACAACATTAATTGATTCTATTATTTGTCTCAACTTTTTTAGCCCCTGTGTGATTTTAATAAGAATAATATCCGTTGTAACTTAATTTTCAAATACATTTTAAATTTCTTTTATTAACAAACAAGTTTTATATTAAGATGTTAATTCAGTCTTTAATTATCAAAGCGTAAGATATATAGAAAGATAAAAAAAATTAAAAAAGATAATATTCGATATTACTTCATTCAATAAAAAGTATAGTTACATATATATTTTTTTGTCCATAAATATATGTGTAGTCCAAGTTGAAACCATCGGGCCGAGAAGCCGTTTTTAAACTTCTCGATCGATGGGGAGCAAGGGAACGAAAGAGAGCTCGTGCGCCAATTAGGATACATAATTGTGTAGATGTGGGGTGAAGGGGCGCCGTAGATTTCGCGCGACACAAGCAGACATGGGAGGGGGGGAGATATGCTGTACACATCCAGCGGTATCTCGCGCGGCGTGCGATGCCGGAAGCGGAATGGATTTAACTCGGGTGTGGGAGCAAATCTACGATGTAGCGTTCTGAGATACGCGACGTCGGCACGCACGCCAGAGGATTCTCCCCGGACACGTCCCCGGCCTCCTTCCCTCCACCCTTCGGGGAGTCTCGAACGAGACTGTTTGTTGCGCGAGAACGACATGTGATTGCACCTGTTTCGAGACCCTATAGGGACGGGTCACGCGACCGCACTACGGCCAGACTTCCGGTCCGTACGAAACCTACGATCTGCTTTGACACAGATCGAAAAGAACGACGACTCGTCCTCGTTGGTAGAAGGTGATAACATTTTCTGTCTGGCTTGACAGATCTCTAAGAGGAAATCGAAGAGGATTCTTCGCATCCGAGGAATGAAATTGTTTGACGAGTTGAGGGTAAAGAGCCGCGACTTAAAAAATTGATTTGAGAGAGAGGGTAAATAATTTTTTAATAATATTTAGAAATGCTTTTGATCATTTTTTTAATCCACGCGTGTTCTGGAGATTCTCGATGACAAAGTAATTGTCCGTCGTAAGAATCTTTATACTTTACCTCGTTGCGTGGACATGCGGTCTGGTGTTAATCAACGAAACGCATCCAGCTGATAGGAATAAAGAGAATAAGAGAGAAAGAAAGAGAAAGAAAGAGAAAGAGAGAGAAAGAGCGAAAGTGGCCGGTGAATGAGCATGTGTGATGCGGTGAAAGTGTAACAGATGTAACGGATTGGTTCGCGCGGATTTTCCTCGCCTCGTACCTTTCCTTTTTTTTCCCTCATTTTCCATTAAGTGACTGATCGTGTGGGTGAGTGCCTGAGCGAGCATTTGAGCGCCTCTTAATCCTTTACACTTGAGGCACAAATCCGATTATTGTTTCTTTCTTGCTTTCGTTATTATCACAATTATTAAATCTAATGTTTGTAACATTTATTTAAAGTTAACTTTATTATTTCTTTTTTATAATAATGCTTTTTAATATCGTGTAATAAAAAACTAATATATTTTAGGAAAAAAAATGAATAAACTGTATAACATATACTTCCTTTTTTAGTAACAAACTGCTAAAAATGTTTGTTTAAATTGTAATACAAATACATTAACGAATATAATATATATTTCTATAATATATATTTCTGCTCCGTTAGTCAACCGGTAATAAATGAGACAAGTACAAAGGATTAAATGTGCGTCTCCTCAAAATATGAAATATGTTGGCAAATTTGACAGAAAACGCAAAAATTTTCGCGCAAGTAGATACATACTGCAGGTGCAACATAATAATTGTTATGCACAAGCATTTGCATCTTGAGAAAGCGTTTTCTATCGATCGCCTGTTTATAAGAGAGAAAAACCACTTAATTACTCGAAGCGCGTTCAGGCGGAATACGGAAGCGTCATGGAGTGCAAGAGAACAAAACGACATGTAAGTGCTCGCAGTAGAGTGCATCCCTTCGTACTCCGCCTTTCGCGTGTTTAGTTAGAATTGAGTCCGCTGGTACATTACGAATCTTTCTGAACGTATACCTTCCCCGTCCGTCGATGGAAGTCTTGTTTGTTTAAACTCCTTCAACGTGAAAAAGCGATCTGATTGGTAAAACAAATACACGAAAGATTTGTTTTATTTTTAATAATTATTTATACGATATAAAATAATTATTAA